CCAAATTCGTCCCAAAAATATCCCCCAAAAAACCCCAAAAAATCCCAAAAACAACCCCAAAAATATCCCCAAAAATCCCAAAAATATCCCCAGAAATATCCCCGAAAAATCCACTAAAAATCCCCAAAAATCCCACAAAAAATCCCCTAAAAATCCCAAAAAAATCCACAAAAAATCACAAAAAATCCCACCAAAAATCCCACCAAAAATCCCAAAAACAACCCCAAAAAATCCCCAAAAACAACCCCAAAAAATCCCAAAAACAACCCCAAAAAAATCCAAAAATATCCCCCAAAATTCCCCCAAAAAATGCCCTAAAAATCCCCAAAAGATCCCCTAAAAATCTCACAAAAAATCCCAAGAAAATCCACAAAAATCCTCCCAAAAAGCCCCAAAAAATCCCAAAAAATCCCACAAAAATCCCAAATTCATCCCAAAAATATCCCCAGAAATATCCCCTAAAAATCCCACAAAAATCCCCCCAAAAATCCCCCAAAAATCCCAAATTCATCCCAAAAATATCCCCCCCAAAAAAAACCCCAAAAACCCCCAAATTCACCCCCAAAAATATCCCCAAAATTCCCACAAAAATCCCCCAAAAATCCACAAAAATCCCCACAAAAAATCCCCTAAAAATCCCACAAAAAATCACAAAAAACCCCACAAAAATCCCCCCAAAATCCCAAATTCATCCCAAAAATATCCCCCAAAAATCCCACAAAAAATCCCCTAAAAATCCCACAAAATCCCCCCCAAAATCCCACAAAAATCCCCAAAATATCCCCAGGAATATCCCCCAAAATCCACAAAAATCCCCTCAAAAAATCCCAAATTCACCCCAAAAATATCCCCAAAAAAATCCCAAAAAATCCCACAAAAAATCCCCAAAATTCCCACAAAAAAATCAAAAAAAATCCACAAAAAATCTCAAAAAAATCCACAAAAATCCCCCCCAAAATCCCAAATCCATCCAAAAATATCCCCAGAATGTGGAGAGAATTCCCCAAATTTCCCTGAATATTCCCCAAATTTTCCTGAATTTTTGCTGAATTTTACCTGAATATTCCCCAATTTCCCCTCAATTTTCCCCCAATTTTTTCCTGAATTTTCCCCAAATTTTCCTGAATTTTTCCCCAATATTTCCCTGAATTTTTTCCCCAATTTCCCCCCAATTTTCGCTGAATTTTCACTGAATTTCCCCCCAATTTTCCCTGAATTTTTCCTGATTTTTTTCCCAATTTCCCCCCAATTTTCTCCCAATTTCCCCTCAGTTTCCCCCCAGTTTTCCATGAATTTTCGCTGAATTTTCCCTGAATTTCCCCCCAATTTTTCCCCATTTTTCCCCCAATTTTCGCTGAATTTTTTCCCCAATTTTTCCTCTGATTATTTCCCCCATTTTTTTCCCAATTCTTCCCCAATTTTCCCCCAATTCCCCCCAATTTTCCCTGAATTTTCCCTGAATTTTTGCCCAATTTCCCCCCGATTTTTCCCCATTTTTTCCCCCATTTTTTTCCAAATTTCCCCTCAAATTTCCCTGAATTTTTCCCCAATTTCCCCCCAATTTTCGCTGAATTTTCCCTGAATTTTTTCCCAATTTTCGCTGATTTTTTCCCCGAATTTTCCCCAATTTTCGCTGAATTTTTCCCAATTTTTTTCCCAATTTCCCTCAATTTTCCCCCATTTTCCCCGCAGGTCTCCCGGTGTTCCTGGAGGAGCCCCAGGACCTAAAAATCGCTTTTTTCTCCCCATTTTCCCTGAATAATTCCCCCAATTTTCCCTGATTTTCCCCTGAATATTTCCTTGAATTTTTCCCAATTTCCCCCCATTTTTCCCGGAATTTTTCCCTGAATTTTCCCCCCAATTTCCCCCATTTTTTCCCCATTTTTCCCCAATTTTTGCTGAATATTTCCCTGAATATTTCCCTGAATTTTCCCCCAATTTTCGCTGAATTTTCCCCCCAATTTTCGCTGAATTTTCCCCAAATTTTCCCCAATTTTCCCCCAATTTTTCCCGAATATTTCCCAATTTTTCCCCCATTTTCCCCGCAGGTCTCCCGGTGTTCCTGGAGGAGCCCCAGGACCTAAAAATCGCTTTTTTCTCCCCATTTTCTCTGCGCTGCAGCGCCCGGGGCCCCCCCGAGCCCGTGCGGCTGCTCTGGCTCCGGGATGGGACCCCCCAAAACCGCCTGGGGGACCCCCTGGGCCAGAGCCCCTCCACCCTCTGGGTGCCAGGTGGGGTTTGGGGACATTTTGGGGACAATTCCGGGGATTTTGGACATTTTGGGTTGGAGATTTTGGGATTTTTTGGATTTTTTTGGTTTTTTTGGGGTTTTTTTGGGACGTTTTGGGAGGGATTTGGGGTCTGGGGGTCAGAGCCCCTCCACCCTCAGGGTGTCTGATGAGGGTTTGGGGACATTTTGGGGACATTTGGGGGACAATTCCGGGGATTTTGGGACATTTGGGGACATTTTGGGCCATGGAATATGGCGAAATTTGGGATTTTTTTTGGTTTTTTTGGGGTTTTCTGGGGGTTTTTTCGGGGTTTTTGGGGGGGATTTTGGGGCGTTTTGGGGGCTCAGGGACCCCCTGGGCCAGAGCCCCTCCACCCTCAGGGTGCCAGGTGGGTTTGGGGACATTTGGGGACATTTTGGGGACATTTTGGGGACAATTTTTGGTATTTTGGGTTCGAGATTTTGGGATTTTTGGGGATTTTTTTGGGGTTTTTTCGGGGTTTTTTGGGGTGGATTTTGGGGTTTTTGGGGGTCTCAGGGACCCCCTGGGCAGGGCCCTTTGCACCCTCAGGGTCCCTGGTGAGGGTTTGGGGACATTTGGGGACATTTGGGGACATTTTGGGGACATTTTAGGGACATTTCGGGGATTTTGGGACATTTTGGGTTCAAGATTTTGGGATTTTTTGGGATTTTTTGGGGTTTTTTTTGGGTTTTTTTTGGGATATTGGGAGGGATTTTGGGGCCTCAGGGACCCCCTGGGCCAGAGCCCCCCCCACCCTCAGAGTGTCTGATGAGGGTTTGGGGACATTTGGGGACATTTGGGGACATTTTGGGGATTTTGGGACAATTTTGGGGATTTTGGGACATTTTGGGTTGGAGATTTTGGGGTTTTTTGGGGTTTTTTTGGGATTTTTTTTGGGTTTTTTTGGGATTTTGGGAGGGATTTGGGGCCTCAGGGACCCCCTGGGCCGGACCCTTTGCACCCTCAGGGTCCCTGGTGAGGGTTTGGGGACATTTTGGGGACATTTGGGGACAATTTGGGGACAATTTTGGGGATTTTAGGACATTTTAGGTTGGAGAATTTGGGGTTTTTTGGGATTTTTTTTTTGTTTTTTTCGGGATTTTTTTGGGTTTTTGGGGGGCATTTTTTGGGGTTTTGGGAGGGATTTGGGGCCTCAGGGACCCCCTGGGCCAGAGCCCCTCCACCCTCAGGGTCCCTGGTGGGTTTGGGGACATTTTGGGGACAATTCCGGGGATTTTGGGACATTTTGGGACATTTTGGGCGATGGAAAATGGCGGAATTTGGGATTTTTTGGGGGGGTTTTTTTGGGGGTTTTTGGGGCGTTTTGGGAGGGATTTGGAGCCCTCAGGGACCCCCTGGGCCAGAGCCCCTCCACCCTCAGGGTCCCAGGTGGGTTTGGGGACATTTTGGGGACAATTCCGGGGATTTTGGGACATTTGGGGACAATTTTGGGGATTTTGGGTTCGAGATTTTGGGGTTTTTTGGGATTTTTTTCGGGGTTTCTTGGGATTTTTTGGGATTTTTTTGGCGTTTTGGGAGGGATTTGGAGCCCTCAGGGATCCCCTGGGCCAGAGCCCCCTCCACCCTCTGGGTCCCAGGTGGGTTTGGGGACAATTCCGGGGATTTTGGGACATTTGGGGACAATTTGGGCGATGGAAAATGGCGAAATTTGGGATTTTTTGGGGTTTTTTCTGGGGTTTTCTGGGGTTTTTTTTGGGTTTTTTGGGGTGGATTTTGGGGTATTTTGGGGGGCCTCAGGGACCCCCTGGGCCAGAGCCCCTCCACCCTCAGGGTGCCAGGTGCAGTTTGGGGACATTTGGGGGACATTTTGGGGACATTTTGGGACAATTTCGGGGATTTTGGGACATTTTGAGCAATGGAAAATGGGGAAATTCGGGATTTTTTGGGGTTTTTTTTGGGTTTTTTTGGGATATTGGGAGGGATTTTGGGGCCTTCAGGGACCCCCTGGGCCGGACCCTTTGCACCCTCAGGGTCCCTGGTGAGGGTTTGGGGACATTTTGGGGGCATTTTGGGACAATTTCGGGGATTTTGGGACATTTGGGGACAATTTCGGGGATTTTGGATTCGAGATTTTGGGGTTTTGTGGGATTTTTTCGGGGTTTTTTTGGGGTTTTTTGGGGGTGGATTTTGGGGTTTTTGGGGGCCTCAGGGACCCCCTGGGCCAGAGCCCCTCCACCCTCAGAGTCCCAGGTGGGATTTGGGGAAAATTCCGGGGATTTTGGGACATTTTGGGACATTTTGGGGCGATGGAAAATGGGGAAATTTGGGATTTTTTGGGGGTTTTTTTGGGGTTTTTTCGGGGTTTTTTTGGGTTTTTTGGGGTGGATTTTGGGGTTTTTTGGGGGGTTCAGGGACCCCCTGGGCCAGAGCCCCTCCACCCTCAGAGTCCCAGGTGGGTTTGGGGACATTTTGGGGACATTTTGGGGACAATTTCGGGGATTTTGGGACATTTTGGGACATTTTAGGTTGGAGATTTTGGGATTTTTGGGGGTTTTTTCGGGGTTTTTTGGGGTTTTTTGGGAGGGATTTGGGGCCTGGGGGTCAGAGCCCCTCCACCCTCAGGGTGCCAGGTGGGGACACTTGGGGACATTTGGGGACAATTTTGGGGATTTTGGGTTGGAGATTTCGGGGTTTTTGGGAGGTTTTTGGGGGTTTTTTTTGGCTTTTTGGGGCAATTTTTTGGGGTTTTTGGGGGGATTCATCCCCAAATTTTCATCCCCAAAATTTTCATCCCCAAATTTTCATCCCCAAAATTTTCATCCCCAAATTTTCATTCCCAAATTCGTCCCCACATTTGCATCCCCAAAATTTTTGTCCCCAAATTTTCATCCCCACATTTGCATCTCCAAATTTGTCCCCAAAATTCTCATCCCCAAATTCATCCCAAAATTTTCGTCCCCAAATTTTCATCCCCAAATTTTTCATCCCAAAATTTTTGTCCCCACATTTTCATCCCCAGACTTTCATCCCCAAACTTTCGTCCCCAAATTCATCCCCAAATTTTCATCCCCAAATTCATCCCCAAACTTTCATCCCCAAATTTTCCTCCCCAAAATTTTCATCCCCAAACTTTTGTCCCCAAAATTTTCATCCCCAAATTTTCATCCCCACATTCTCATCCCCAAACTTTTCATCCCCAAACTTTCATCCCGAAATTTTTGTCCCCAAATTTCTGTCCCAAATTCACCCCCAAAATTTTCATCCCCAAATTTTCATCCCCACATTTTCCTCCCCAAATTTTTGTTCCCAAATTCATCCCCAAATTCATCCCCAAAATTTTTGTCCCCAAAACTTGGTCCCCAAATTTTCGTCCCCAAATCCATCCCCAAAATTTTCATCCCCACATTTGCATCCCCAAACTTTCATCCCAAAATTTTCGTCCCCAAAATTTTCATCCCCAAATTTTCATCCCCACATTCTCATCCCCCAAACTTTTCATCCCCAAACTTTCATCCCGAAATTTTTGTCCCCAAATTTCTGTCCCCAAATTCACCCCCAAAATTTTCATCCCCACATTTTCATCCCAACATTTTGCATCCCCAAAATTTTTGTCCCCAAATTTTCATCCCCAAAATTTTCATCCCCAAAATTTTCATCCCCAAAATTTTTGTCCCCAAACTTTTGTCCCCAAACTTTTGGTCCCCAAATTTTCCTCCCCAAATCCATCCCTAAAATTTTCATCCCCAAACTTTTGTCCCCAAAATTTTCATCCCCAAATTTGTTTCCCCACATTTTCATCCCGAAATTTGCATCTCCACATTTCATCCCAAAATTTTCATCCCCAAATTCGTCCCCAAAATTCTCATCCCCAAACTTTTGCCCCACATTTTCATCCCCAAATTCATCCCCAAATTCATCCCCAAATTTTCATCCCCAAACTTTTGTCCTCAAATTTTCATCCCCACATTTTCATCCCCAAAATTTTGTCCCCAAAATTTTTGTCCCCAAACTTTCATCCCCAAATTCGTCCCCAAACTTTCATCCCCAAATTTGCATTTCCAGATTTTCGTCCCCAAAATTTTCATCCCCACATTTTCATCCCCAAATTTGTTTCCTCACATTTTCATCCCCAAAATTTCATCCCCAAATTTTCGTTCCCAAATTTGTCCCCAAAACTTTTGTCCCCAAACTTTTGTCCCCAAACTTTTGGTCCCCAAATTTTCGTCCCCAAATCCATCCCTAAAATTTTCATCCCCAAACTTTTGTCCCCAAAATTTTCACCCCCAAAATTTTCATCCCCAAATTTGTTTCCCCACATTTTCATCCCCAAATTTGCATCTCCACATTTTCATCTCCGCATTTTCATCCCAAAATTTTCATCCCCAAATTCATCCCCAAATTTTCATCCCCAAACTTTTGGTCCCCAAAATTTTTGTCCCCAAATCCATCCCCAAATTCTTGTCCCCAAAATCTCATCCCCCAAACTTTCATCCCCAGATTCGTCCCCAAAATTTTGTCCCCAAACTTTTGGTCCTCAAATTTTCATCCCTAAACTTTTGGTCCCCAAATTCTTGTCCCCAAATTTGCATCCCCAAATTTTCATCCCAACATTTTCCTCCCCAAATTTTTGTTCCCAAATTCATCCCCAAAATTTTCATCCCCAAACTTTCATCCCAAAATTTTTGTCCCCAAATTTTCGTCCTCAAACTTTTGGTCCCCACATTTTCATCCCCAAATTCGTCCCCAAAACTTTTGTCCCCAAAACTTTTGGTGCCCAAAACTTTTGTCCCCAAATTTTCATCCCCAAATTTGCATCCCCACATTTTCCTCCCCAAATTTTTGTTCCCAAATTTGTCCCCAAAATTTTTGTCCCCAAAATTTTTGTCCCCAAATTTTCGTCCCCAAAATTTCGTCCCCAAACTTTTGGTCCCCAAATTTTCCTCCCCACATTTTCATCCCCAAAATTTTGTCCCCAAATCCATCCCCAAAATTTTTCATCCCCAAATTTTCCTCCCCAAAATTTTCATCCCCAGATTCGTCCCCACATTTTCATCCCAAAATTTTTGTCCCAAAATTCATCCCCAAATTTTCACCTCCACATTTTCATCCCCAAATTTTCATCCCCAAATTTTTCCACCCCAAATTTTCACCCCCAAATTCATCCCCAAAATTTTCATCTCCACATTTTCATGTCCACATTTTCATCCCGAAACTTTCGTCCCCAAATTTCTGTCCCCGAAGTCACCCCCAAAATTTTCATCCCCAAACTTTTGGTCCCCAAATTTTCATCCCCAAACTTTTGTCCCCAAATTTTCATCCCCAAATTTTCATCCCCGAATTTTCATCACAAAATTTTCATCCCCAAATTTTCATCCCCACATTTTCATCCCAAAATTTTCATCCCCAAACTTTCATCCCCAGATTCGTCCCCAAAATTTTGTCCCCAAACTTTTGGTCCTCAAATTTTCATCCCTAAACTTTTGGTCCCCAAATTCTTGTCCCCAAAATTTCATCCCCAAATTTGCATCCCCAAATTTTCATCCCCACATTTTCGTCCCCGAATTTTCGTCCCCAAAATTTTTCATCCCCAAAATTTTCCTCCCCAAATTTCGCTGTCCCCAGGTCTGAACCGCAGCAGCTCCTTCGCCTGCGAGGCGCACAACGAGCGCGGCGTCGCCACCTCCCGCAGCGCCACCGTCACCGGTGGGGACACCTGGGCACACCTGGGCACACCTGGGCACACCTGGGCACATCTGGGGCACATCTGGGACACATCTGGGGCACAGCTGGGAAAAAAACCCGCGAAAATCGGCCCCGGATTGGGGGAAAAACGCGGGAAAACGGGGCTGGGACGGGGCAGGAAATTGGGGGGAAATTGGGCAAAAAGTGGATGGAAATTGGGGGGAAATTGGGCAAAAGTGGATGGAAATTGGGGGGAAATTTGGGCTGAAGTTGGTGTAAAGTTGGGCTGGAATTGAAATGAAATTGGGCAAAAATGGGGTAAAAATTGAGATAAAATTGGGACAAAAATTGGCCTAAAATTCATCATAAAATTGGTCAAAATTGGGCCAAAATTCGTCATAAAATTGGTACAAAATTGGCCCAAAATTGACATAAAGTTGGTCAAAATTGGCCCGAAATTTGTGCTAAAATTGGTATAAAATTGGGCCGGAATTGGTCTAAAATTGACATAAAATTGGCCCAAAATGGGTCAAAATTGACATAAAATTGGCAGAAATGGTTCAAAAATTGGCCCAAAATTGACATAAAATTGGTCAAAATTGGCCCAAAATTTGTGCTAAAATTGGCCCAAAATTGACATAAAATTGGTCAAATTTGGCCCAAAATTCGTTCTAAAATTGACATAAAATTGGTCAAAATTGGCACAAAATTGGCCCAAAATTGAGTCAAAATTGGCCCAAAATTGACACAAAATTGGTCAAAATTGGCCCAAAATTCATCCTAAAATTGACATAAAATTGGCCAAAAATTGAGCCACAATTGGCCCAAAATTGACATAAAGTTGGTCAATATTGGGCCAAAATTCATCCTAAAATTGACATAAAATTGAGCCACAATTGGCCCAAAATTGACATAAAATTGGTCAAATTTGGTCCAAAATTTGTGTTAAAATTGGCATAAAATTGGGCCGGAATTGAAATGAAATTGGGCAAAAATGGGGCAAAAATTGGGATAAAATTGGGACAAAAATCGTCCTAAAATTTGTGGTAAAAATTGACATAAATTTGGTCAAAATTGGGCCAAAATTCGTCCTAAAATTGGCCCAAAATTGAGCCACAATTGGCCCAAAATTGACATAAAATCGATCAAATTTGGCCCAAAATTCGTCCTAAAATTGATATAAAATTGGGCCAAAATTGACACAGAATTGGCCCAAAATGGGTCAAAAATTGAGATAAAATCGGCAGAAATGGTGCAAAAATGGGCCCAAAATTCGTCCTAAAATGGACATAAAATTGGCCCAAAATTGAGCCACAATTGGCCCAAAATTGACATAAAATTGGTCAAAATTGGCCCAAAATTCGTCCTAAAATTGGCCCAAAATTGAGCCAGAATTGGCCTGAAATTGACATAAAATTGGTCAAAATTGCCCAAAATTTGTCCTAAAATTGGCATAAAATTGGCCCAAAATTGACATAAAATTGGTCAAAATTGGCCCAAAATTCGTCCTAAAATTGACATAAAATTGTCCTAAAATTGACATAAAATTGGTCAAAATTGGCCAGAAATTGCTCTAAAATTGACCCAAAATTGACATAAAATTGGTCAAAATTGGCCCAAAATTGCTCTAAAATTGGCATAAAATTGGCCCCAAATTGAGATAAAATTGGTCAAAATTGGGCCAAAACTCGTCCTAAAATTGGCATAAAATTGGCCCAAAATTGACATAAAATTGGTCAAAATCGGCCCAAAATTGACATAAAATTGGTTAAAATTGGCCCAAATTTCGTCCTAAAATTGGCCCAAAATTGAGCCACAATTGGCCTGAATTGACATAAAATTGGTCAAAATTGGCCCAAAATTTGTCCTAAAATTGACATAAAATTGGCCCAAAATTGGGCCAAAATTCGTCCTAAAATTGACATAAAATTGGCCCAAAATTTGTGCTAAAATTGAGATAAAATTGGTCAAAATTGGCCCAAAATTCGTCCTAAAATTGACATAAAATTGGCCCAAAATTGAGACATTATTGGCCCAAAATTGACATAAAATTGGTCAAAATTGGCCAGAAATTGGTCCTAAAATTGGCATAAAATTGGCCCAAAATTGAGGCACAATTGGCCCAAAATTGACATAAAATTGGTCAAAATTGGCCAGAAATTGGTCCTAAAATTGGCATAAAATTGGCCCAAAATTGAGGCACAATTGGCCCAAAATTGACATAAAATTGGTCAAAATTGGCCCAAAATTTGTCCTAAAATTGACATAAAATTGGCCCAAAATTGGCATAAAATTGGTCAAAATTGGCCCAAAATTCGTCCTAAAATTGACATAAAATTGGACAAAATTGGTCCAAAACTCGTCCTAAAAATTGACATAAAATTGGGCCGAAATTGGCCCAAACTTGACACAGAATTGGCACAAAATGGGTCAAAAATTGACATAAAATTGGCAGAAATGGTGCAAAAATTGGCCCAAAATTCGTCCTAAAATTGGCCCAAAATTGAGTCAAAAATGGCCCAAAATTGACATAAAATTGGTCAAAATTGGCCCAAAATTCGTCCTAAAAATTGACAGAAAATTGGCCCAAAATTGAGTCAAAAATGGCCCGAAATTGACATAAAATTGGTCAAAATTGGCCCAAAATTCGTCCTAAAATTGGCCCAAAATTGAGCCAAAATTGACATAAAATTGGTCAAAATTGGCCCAAAAATTGTCCTAAAATTGACATTAAATTGGCCCAAAATTGGTCAAAATTGGCCAGAAATTGCTCTAAAATTGGCCCAAAATTCATCCTAAAATTGACATAAAATTGGTCAAAATTGGGCCAAAACTCGTCCTAAAATTGACATAAAATTGGCCCAAAATTGAGCCACAATTGTCCCAAAATTGACATAAAATTGGTAGAAATTGGCCCAAAATTCGTGCTAAAATTGGCCCAAAATTGAGCCAAAATTGGCCCAAAATTGACATAAAGTTGGTCAAAATTGGGCCAAAACTCGTCCTAAAATTGACATAAAATTGGCCCAAAATTGAGCCACAATTGGACCAAAACTCGTCCTAAAATTGGCCCAAAATTGACATAAAATTGGTCAAAATTGGCCCAAAATTTGTCCTAAAATTGGCCCAAAATTGAGCCACAATTGGCCCAAAATTGACATAAAATTGGTCAAAATTGGCCCAAAATTCGTTCTAAAATTGGCATAAAATTGGCCCAAAATTGAGCCACAATGGACCCAAAATTGACATAAAATTGGTCAAAATTGGTCCAAAATTCGTCCTAAAATTGACATTAAATTGGTTAAATTTGGCCCAAAATTCGTCCTAAAATTGACATAAAGTTGGTCAAAATTGGCCCAAAATTCGTCCTAAAATTGACATAAAATTGGGCAAAATTGGCCAGAAATTGCTCTAAAATTGACCCAAAATTGACATAAAATTGGTCAAAATTGGCCCAAAATTCGTCCTAAAATTGACCCAAAATTGACATAAAATTGGTCAA